ACCTTGAGCTTTTACGAGCATGATGAGGTAGGCACTAAAAATTCATTAAGATGGAAATAAATCTTAAAGTGTAAGCAGTTTCACAGCTGTTAGGGAGAAAATCGGGGGATTAATGAATATCAGTAAAACAATTAAGAAAAAATGCAGTCTAACTCTTGCTATAAATATCACTGATCCTGTTTACTGATCTGGTGATACTAATAAAACAACACGTTACAAGAGTATGTTTTCAGTCCTACCAATTAGGTTTCAAAGAACAGCAGGATTTGGAAGTGTCATAAAATCTAACCCTAATGCCGTGGGAGGGTTAAAATTGTTTTATAGACAAATAAACAGCATCCCTGAGTCAAATCCATGTCCCTTGTTTATTTTTACACTGCCTGAGCAGGGAGCCACTGTATTGCCGTGTCATAATCACAATTCATGATTACAGTGGCAAAATGAAACCTAACCGGGCATGATGTGACAAGTTTCTAATGATTTAGTTAATAATTTGTCTGTCTACACAGAAAACAGAAATGGTATGAAGGTTGACAGCCAATCATGATTTAAAAAAAATGTAAATACGGTTATATGGGGTGGCATAGATGACACCAAAATAGAAAACAAGCAACAAAATGCAATGTGGCAGCGTGTTTGACCAAAAAGTCTGATTTATATTTCTGTCCGCTTATAAAATATTTTATTGTGAATAATCATGTTTTTTTTTTCAGTTGCTTGTAAAAAATAAAGAAATAAAGAAAACAATATAATGTGTGCAAGTTTTATACTGTGCATCTGTGTGGATGACACATTCAACGAATACAGTACAATTTGGTGACCCACGACACAAATCATACGTTTTTTTTTGTTGTCAGAACTGTTAAATATGATGGATAACCTATTATCTATCATTTAAATTAACCTAGCATGAAAAGTAGCTAGTTTTAAATGTCTGTATATATATATATATATCATATAATAATTGCTGTTAATAGTGTTCATCGTCTGTTTGATTACATCTTTAAATGATTTTTCCGTACATTTCTGCCATATGTACATTAACTGACAGTCACCACTGATAAACTACTACTAAATATTGTAGAAACCTAATTTGCTGTAAATTTGCTTTGCAACGATTTGTATCGTGAAAAGCGCTATACAAATAAACTTGAATTGAATTGAATTTTATATTTCTTCAAATGGTGATTTGAGTCACCATTTGTCAATAAGTTTATCAATAACTACAAATCACCATCTAATGCTAGGGACTATACATTTTCTAGCCAGCCACTAGTGACAGGTTAGACTTCTAATGCTTTTAATTTCATTTTCTTTTTTATTTTGTCTGTTTAGTTTTAATGTTTTTTTTTTTATGTTAATTGCTAGAAAATGTAAAATTCCATCAAAATGAATAGGAATTAAAGCTTCATCATTTAGTTTGACCTCCTGAGGTTAAAAAACAGCATTTTCTGAATGTTAAGCACCTCTACTCACTGGTTAAATAATGTTTTTTTTTATTTCAGGCCCTAATTTGCACCATATTCATGAAAAGTGCCAATTGTGCTACTTTGTGAGTCTGTTTTTCACCCATAGTATCTTTTTGGGTACTTAAAAATATTGCTGTTGGTGATAAATGATATCTAGTTTGCCATGAGACATTGATAAAGGGTATTACTTCAATATGTATTCAATATTTGATTCTTACTGAAGGGCCAGTGTGGATCCGTAAGACAATAGCAGTTGTGAAATGCTGGTGAAGTAGAGGAATAGTGTTTGTGAGGAAGCCTTAAAGAGGTGTTTTCAAAAATTGGGTCAAAACTGAAGCCATAACAACTTGAGGAAGATGCAAAGTGAAAGTGCTTCCATTGGCTGAACTTTGCCCTTGCATTTTCTTTGCCACACAAGCACACTTTTACGATGTCAGTGCTTATGCAGCCTGATGTCTTTTACTCAGAGTGTAATAGCTCTTTGCTAGCCATGGCAGGTGATGAGAAGTGATGCTTCCTCCTCTCAAAAACATGCAAAGTGAAGGGGTATCAAACAAACAGCCTAAAACAGATTCAGAGCTGGCACGGTGACAGCGCAGAGCTCGTGCCCCGCACCGACCCTCCAGCTAAGCATTTTAATAATGCAGTCTCAGAGGACTCCAACAGCTCCCTTCCCTCTGGAACCGATCGGCATTTCCCTCTCATTACAGCTCAGAGATTGATAATTTTGTTTCAAGAGCATCTAGATTGAGACAGGACGGATGGAGGGTTAATAAAACATGAGGAACATTAGTATTCACCTCATACTTCCCTCTACAGCAGGTCCAATGTGGCATGTTTCCTCTCCTGCCATCCCTCAGATGTTCCAGAGCCAAATGCTTCAGCGGTGGGCTGGGAATTGGAGGGAACAGGAACAAGGTCTGCTTCCACATAAGACCTCTGTAGCTCATCAACATATAAACTCACATCTGAGTGACCAAAGTGTCCACATAGGAATCATTGCTTGATTTTGACGCAAATATACTTTTTTTTCTGGATATTGACATATTCATTAGCTAGTGTCAAGGGTTGTTTTCAGTACTTTTCTGTGATATGCATGAACAATGAAAACTAAATGAGTGTATTTTACTCTGTTGTCTTGGAAAAAAATTTAAACGATAGTTCGCCCAAAATTACATAAAACATAACATATAAAAGATATTTTGAAAAATGGCTCAGGTTTTTTCCATTTTTCCATACAAAGTCAATTGGGTCTAAAACAAAAAATCTTTAAAAAATCTTCTTTTGTGTTCTGCAGACAAAACGTCATACAGGTTTAAAATGACGTGTGAATAAATTTTCATTTTTTTGGGGTGAACTATCCCTTTAAAATATACATTTTGGTTGTGGCCTTGTGGTTTGTTAATTGTAATATATCTACTGTCCCCAATACTGTGCATTTTGATATTTTTAATCTTGTGTTGTGGTCTAGCTGGGACATTTTTTTTTCAAGGTGCAATTATAAGTGTCTAAAACCCCAGGTAATTTGTATATTGACATCGAGGAAAAAGACATGTCCTCCATTTTTCATTTTAATTATCTTTTTATATTGCTTTGATGAAAAAAAAAAAAAAACATTCCGCATTGGACTTGGAAATATCTTGGAAAATGAGAAAATGAGTTGCCTTATACAACTAAAAAAAAAACAACATAATGGTGGAAAATAAGTCTTATATTGTAAAATACACTGCAATTGTTGCAATTATGCTAACGGGATCTCTGGGGTTTGATTCTTTTAGTACAATCCAGCTGGGAACATTATCTTCAGTCATTGCAATAGTCAATAGCACACCATTAATTGCCCAAATGAAAGGCTCTGTTTAATAATTCAAATTGCCGTTTGTGTGAATTAAACAGAGGGCTATCTTGGCTCTATCTGAAGAGTTATTGTTTGCGGGAGTGAATGGCTCGCCGCCTCTCCCTCAGTATACACTGGCAAAGCTCTGGGGATCACATGAACATTTCTGGCTTTTTGTGATTGAGTCTTCATTGGAGTGAGGCGATTTGAACTTATTTTTTTACCTCCTGTTGTGCTTATTTACTGCCAAGTTCAGACTTCTTAGATGAAAATGCTTGCACCAAGCATCTAGAATATTCAGCAGCGAGATGAACCATCTGAAATGAGTTTCCTGACACAGTCACTTCCTGTGGGCTTGGTGAAATGTACAGGCTCACTGTGTCTGAAACTTAAAGCAGTCAATAACTTACTAGGCAGTGTTAAAGCAGTCAATAAACTCCTAGGCTTCCAAGGTTTGAAGTTCTACAATTTATTTGATGACAAATTTAGTGAGGACAGCAATTATTTCTCAACATTTTTTTCTTGTTCTTTTTAGTGAAACGGAAACATACAGAGCAAAAGTTGTAGACCGATTACCAAACAAGTTACTCTTGAACTAGTTCTTTTTTTATGTGTGTGAATCAAACACATATACATGCAACCATTGTAGTACAATTTCTGAACAAATGACTCCTTTGATCTGGTTCCTTTTAGTGAATCAAATATATTCAGCACAACCAGTGTCCGAAACCTAAACGAATGAATCTCTTGAGCCAGTTATTAGGCTTGTTCGAGATGCATCGGCGCTGCGCAGAACGATCGGTGTATGACATCAAAGTACCGCGAGAACCATAATAGAGCAGACGACTCTTTATGCTTTTGAATTGGTCTCACGGTACTTTGATGTCATACACCGATCGTTCTGCACAGCGCCGATGCATCTCGAACAAGCCTATTTTTATTGAATCTAAAACATACAGCTTAATCAATGTCGTCCGATTCCTGAACGAATGACTCTTTGTTACATGTCTGCGGGTTTTTTGTTGGTTTTCCTTTGACCTAGTTTTCCTAGTTGTCTTGAGTCATTCTGTTCACCTGCGTATCATCAATTACCTTGTTAATAATCTCGTTTGCTCCTTTGTAGTTGTTAATAAGACTGTGAAAAGTCATTTAAAGTATGTTTAAACATTTTTTGCCAATTTTAAATTGATGTATTATTGAAATTCTCATCAAGGCAATGAAATTGCTTTAAAAAAAGCTTTTTTTTTATTCCTTATTACTTAAGAACTAAAAGAGTTGTTAATGGAACTATTAAAAAACTGGAATCTTTTTTCAAGTTTCAGACACATCCTTTGTGTTTTTGGCCTATAAAGAGAGCAACAGCCCTCATTTGGCCATGAGATCACAGAACAGTCCAAACACCCACAGATCTCCCCAAATCAGAGTGCGAGTTTAGCATCAGAGCGCCAGAAATGACAAGCGAATAAAATGGCAGTGTGTTTAAAACGCCACACAGATACATTCTACATATGTCCTTCCATCATTTGCGCCTATACCTGGGCTCTGTTGCTTTGGCTTTTGGTAGCTTCATCTGACAGCCTTGCGGAGTGACAGATAAGAGCGAATAATTAATTTATCAGAGGAGACCAGACTCTAATCCCCGGTGTCCCGGTGATAAGGTTGTTTTTTTTTCGCTCTCTCCCTCCTTCCTTTAGATCTCTTCTGGTGATAGAGAGCTCTCCCTCAGCAGGTTCCCGTTAATAAGCCTGTCAGAAAGGCCAGGGAGAGCCCGTCCAAAGCAGGTTATCTCCTCACCGCACACCCACGTCTCCGCCTGACAGCGACTGGCTGGCCACTCAACGGACCTTTGAAACCTCAGGAGCACCGGGCCGCGTTCTGCAGGCCTTCGAGGCAGCCCTGTCATTTGAACTGGCTAATTCCAGCATCGGGGGGGCAGAAAAGGGCCAGAGGACTCGGCGGCTGACAGACTCGTCGGCACAGGCCGGTATGGAACTCGACGGGGGTTGAATTTTCAAAAAATTATTTTGTGAGGGATCTAAATGCTGAGGGATTTGTTTTCTCTTTTTCATATTCCTCTTATTTTACTTTCCAGCCATCGCTTTGGGTTTAAACGCAGGCATCTCTCCTGAGCTGGTTGTGCATGTTTCATATTGTGTGTGTGAATTCAACTGCCCCTCACGGTGTGAGAAGCTTTTGTGTGCCTGGTTTCTCCATCTGTGCAGGTCTGTCTGGTAGCGCCAGTCTGGATCTGTCTTCCCCGCACAGCACGAAATGTGAGTGTGTTTGTCTGTATGTGTGTGTGTGTGAAGAGATGAGGTCAATAATGAAGGTTGATATCATGTGGGAGTTTAAGCAGACAGAGTCTTTAATAAATAATAACCTGTATGATTGAAGCTTAGCCAGGTTCTGTACACAGGTGGACATCGCCTTCATTTCTGGGAAATATATTAAAATCCTTTTCAAAAGACGTAATTGAAAACCCAGGGACAAGATTAACAACTTGCCGGTTGTGGAATTTGATGGTTTATGAATAACAATGCTCCAACTATTTTGCTTTCTCATGAATATTTAAAATGTCAAATATGAATCAGATATGAGATGGAATTTAGTTTGCAGATAAGAGGTTAATGCTGCAGCTGCTGTTTTGTTTTTTTGTTTTCCCCAACAGGACTTTGTTTACTTGTGTATATTATTTAATATATTAGGATTTCAGGTTGAATAATCCATTTTATACATTATTATATTCTAGGTTTGTATTATTTTTGATCGTATACCAACTGTCAAGACAATTACTTCATTCACATTCTTGCATTTGGTTGATACTTCTATCCAGTCTATTCAAGGTAGATGTTTGATCTGTTCATGTATTCCTTGAGAGTCAAACCAGTGATCTTGGCATTGCTAGTGGTATGCTTGGTTTCTAATCTATTTAAAGTTAGATGAAATGGAAATTCGCCTATTAAAAAAAAAAAAAAAAGAGCTTGTAATTTTTCATCAAAATATCATACCTTGATCTTCCGGTGAGACGCTACACTCTGGTGACCTATGCTTAAAGAGCAGGTCATATGCAGGGGCGGATCTTCCGGGGTGGCAACTGCCACCCTAAGAAAATCTGTGCCACCCCACCTGCCACCCCAGAATTATCACAGAATAAAATATAAATGTAAGCAGTGTTTCATGTGCTACTTTTCAGCCGCGGCGATGACAGAGTAACGCAAAATAATGGCAAAAACCAGTCTTAATAAACTTTGCACGATGGTTGCACACGCACACAGCGTGCCAGTGTAGTCGGCTTCATTAACAAATTACTCTTATGAACCGGTTCTTTTTGAGTCAAAACCACAAAGCGCAGCCCAGTTCACTACTAACGAATTGTTTTACCTTTGTTCGTGAATCAGATAATTACTGCTTCTCAGCTAACTGAGAAGTCCTCTGAGAATGCTAATCCCGTCCGGATATGTCTGAGATTCATCGCGTAATTGTTTGGTGATCCGATTCTCCGACCGCTCGCTCCACTTTCATCATGAGTGTAGTCGGCTTCATTAACAAATTACTCTTATGAACCGGATCTTTTTGAGTCAAAACCACAAAGCGCGGCCCAGTTCACTAATGAATTGTTTTTACATTTGTTCGTGAATCAGATCATTACTGCTTTTCAGGTAACTCAGAAGTCTTCTGAGAAATCTAATCCCGTCCGGATATGTCTGAGATTTATCGCGCAATTGTTTGGTGATCCGATTCTCCGACCGCTCGCTCCACTTTCATCATGGATATAAGCCGGTGTCAACGAGGGGGTGCATAATCTGGCAGGGGTGCAGAATTCGGCACAACACCGGAACAATAACATGAAATCAATAAGAAGTTGCGAATCACGGAAACTAATAGCAGAGTTAGGTAAGAAGGCAGTTTTCTCGATTGTTAATAGGCTATAACTGATATTAGTTGGCAATTTTTTCCCCAAACCATTAATTCAGTTTTCAAAACAAAGACACATTTCTCAAAAAGTTTAACAATGAGTAGTTAAACATTAGGTAGCAAAACTGATGACACACCAATCAGAATCTCTGCATGCTAGCAATGGAGAGAGCTGAGCCAATCATCTACAGGGGTTTTATACTTACACATACATACAGTATAATTACAGTTCAGTGTTTTATACTTACACATACAGTATAATTACAGTACAGTACCAGTACATTAGATAATGGAAATTTCACTATTCTAAATGTACAGTAAACTGTAGCACATGTTGTGCACCTTCAAGCGTGTGACTGTCAAATTTTTTCTGTAACCATTTTTTATGTGTACTGCATTTTTGCAGAACTGAGAAATGACTGCCTAGAGATATAGCTATTCTTGTGTCAGGAGACCAAACTGCTATAGTGCTGTATACTGTAATGAAATTTGGCCAAAAGTGCAGAGGATGCTAAATTTACTTTTTTAAATTGTATTTTTTACTGTACTGTATTGTGGTGCATTCCAAGCTCATACAATTCTTTGGTATTTTAACTTTTCTAGTGCTTTTCATCTTTCATTTTGCAAGAGATCTGAGGCATTTTGTGTGTGCAATTTGTGGATTTGTGTGTAAAGTTCTGAAAAAAAGAGGCAAAGTTTTGAAAATGTGTGTAAGCAGTTGAAAAAAACCTGTAAGAAAAACTAATAACTAGATTGAAAGACAAATGTATGCTGGCTTGTCTTAAAGTCTTGTTTCAAAAACTTAAATGGTTTGGTCAGTTAGATGTTCTAGATGTTTGCTAAAGTGTTGCTAGTTGGTTGCTAGGATATTCTGGGTGGTTGCTAGGCTCTTGCTATGCAGTTGCTGGGGCGGTGCTAGAGTATATGTTTGATAGTGTGTTCTGGGTGATTACAGATATTCCCACCTCAGTTCATTACAGAAAATCAAACACTGTTTTCAAAACTGATCCAGTTTCAATGCTTTGATATTATTGTATTTCTTTCTAATGTTAGGAAATTCAAAAGTTTTTGTTGCTCTTAAACTTGCACTAAATGTGATTATACCATCTAAGTAGCCTATGTAATTTTAATAGAACCGCATGTCTTCTTTAGTGATACAAGCTCAGAAACATTTATAACCTGTTGAAGTTTTTTTATATTGTG